TGCGGAATACAAATTTTGCTGGCACGTTTTTGTAACGTTGACTAGAATTTGGAAGCAGTTAGTGCTGACACCTGCAAAAATAACAACAATAACGCCGTTGGCATTAACATAAACTGCCGCTAATGACATACACGTTGTCACTTGTGGCCATAGCCACCGACGAAATGTTGCAAGTACGAATATTGTTGACTAAATGGCTCAAAATGGAGATAGACGTGCAAATGTATCTACATACATACAGTTGTATGTAGGTTTATAAATATACTTTGTGCATAAGTATAATTGTATGCAACAGGAAACAGTGTTAAATTGGCAATAACACCAACAAACGCGATATCACACTGGGTGCACTGCATATATCTACATATAAACTGTTAGCAAGCAAAGCCCGAAAATAGCGCCAAAAATAAACTTTAACAAATCTAACAACAAAAATATCATTTAAAATATAAATGTTGACAAGAAATGAGTGCGCTTTCAAAGTGGCTACCACAAAAAGTGGTTGCAACGAAGATGTCACAACAGCTGCCCCGACAAATGCAAAATCAACAAAAACTGTTGTTGCGCTGTTGAGATGTGCTTGCATTAGGGTGAACAAGGCATTTTTTTACTTGCCGGGCTTATAACAATTTTATATACAAATACACACAGACTACACATACGCATGTATATATATGTACGTACTTCTAACTTGAAGTTATAACACTAGAAACTTATGTCGAACGAAATTATATCCAGAGCATTTATGTTGAGAACCTTATGATGGACATAAAGATAGAAGCTTGGGCTTCAATAACTATCCGCACACAAAAATATTAAACGCTATCTCGGAGATACAACATCACAGAGTATAGTATTTAAAAAGAGATTCAATGTAGAATTGTGTAGCAAGGAAGCCTGGAAGTTATTTATTTTAGAAAGGCGTATCCAGAATGGGACCCAGCACTGGACCAATAACTAGAGAAAGCATAGAAACATTGGAGCCAGCTTGGCCGAGATAATTTTAAGGAAAAGCTTAAGCCACCAGCCTGTGTTCGAAGATAAACCTAAGAAGAAACCATCGCAGTGAGTAAATTGTCAGACTTATCGATAACCGGGCTTGTTCATCTTTCAAAGTACCATCACCAATAGTCCTTTAGTGCATACAGAAACTATACTCCTACTCTAATTGCGATAACATACAACAATTACGGATATCATGTACACACATATGTACATCTGCTTTTGCTGAAGGTTATATTTTGTATCATTTTCCTATCTAAATCCCTACCTCTACCGTGTTCGATCTAATTACATTTATCTTATTGTTCTCCTTTATCTTTATTTTTATCTTTATCCTCTATCGATAACAAAATCGATAGTAACATCCATCAAAATATCGATAACAAAACCGATAAAAATATCGATAACAAAATCGATAAAGATATCGATAACAAAATCAATAAAAAATACCGATGACCAAATTGATAATAAATATCGATGACAATATCGACAATAAAATCGATAACAAATTCGACAGAAATATTGATAGCAAAATCGATAAAAAATCGAAAATAGTATCAATAAAAAATGTCGATACCAAAATCGATAATAAAATCGATAACAAAATCTATAAAATATATCGGTAACAAAAGCGATGAAAGTTTCGATAACAAAATCGATAAAATATCGATAACAAACACAATAAAAATATCGATTGTTATGTCGATAAGATCCAAAAATATCGATATAAAAAGCAACATAAATATCTATAACAAATCGGATTAAAATACCGATAACAAAACCGATTAAAATATCGGTACCAAAACCATAAAAAATATCGATTATTATATCGATAAGTTCCGAGAATCCCGAAAATCTCTGAAATTCCGAAATAGTTCCCAGATTGAGTCTGTGTCTCCATCTATATCCCGTTCACTATCTACCTTTATTTTAATCTTTCTTCTTCTATCTACATCTTTACTTCTATCGGTATTCTCATTCTCACCTTTTTCTTTATATTCATTTTGTTTTCACTTTTATTTTTACTTTAATTTTATCATTTTATGTAAGTAAGTTTACCTTGATCTTCATTTTTGGCTTTATGTGAAAATCAGAGGGTATAAAAGATCCCTAGATCGCAGCGATACGCTCAGGCTAGAAGATAAGCTGATTACAACTGAAGAAGGTATGCTGCCTAAATCATATATCCATTCAATTTAAGGCCTATATGATTGCTCGACTCCACCGGTGAAATATTGGAGACCATAATCTATAACCTGTTTAATATGGGAGTCCAAGAGAAAGGTAGCCTTTCATCACGAAGTAATAGTAACGCTTGGTAATAGTAATATATTTCACTGCGTAAACCAGACAAAGTAGGTATTTCCTAGTACCTTCATAGATTAGTATTTATTATTACTAGTGTTCGCCCAGCGGTTGAAATTCAACCTTTTAAATTAAAGGGAGTTGAGGTGGGCTGAGCTGAGCCGAGTTGAGTTAAATGAAGTGAATTGAGGTGAGATGCGTTTAACAACGCAACAGAATATAAGATAATATGAAATAACATAACATAACATGACATAACATAAGAAAACATAAGATAGCAGAACATGACATAATATAAGTAAGATAACATAACATGACATAACATAGTATAACAACACAGCATGACACAATTTGACACAACATAACATAACATGGAATAATATAACATAATATGACATAACATAACATAACATGACATAACATAACATAACATGACATAACAAAACAAAACATAACATGACATAGCATAGCATAACATGACATAACAAAACAAAACATAACCTAAGATAACATGTCCTTCTCCAATTTTATCTCATTCTTTTTCTCTCTCTTTTTCCCCATCTTTGTCTCTACCTTTATCTGTACCTTTAGCTGATTTTAGGAGGAGAGCCTCTATTTTGAAAATTTAAGGAGATGTAGGTAAACATTTTTTTTTCGTGCAGGAAATTGCACATTAAGTGACATTAAAAAATATTAAATTGCCCACTGACTTAGAGGCGATTTTTATCACTTTGTAAAACATTCCATATGCGGAAGTTTAGCGCCTTTAAGGTACTATCTATCATACGATTTAGAAATTTTTCGCAGCGCATTTTTTTATGACCAAAGGAACATACCTTGCTTTGTAGGACAAAGGTGCAAAATACGGCGCAACCTAATGTTATTGTTTAAATGTAGGTACTTATGTATCTTTATGCCTACATATAAATAATTACATATGTGTGTATGTATGTAGTTAAATTTTTGTGCATCGTCTTTTGACTAATGTGAAACCATTAAATCTGTGCTGTCTATTTTCGGTTATTTATTGCCACCTTAAGGCGAGCGGCCTTCTTCGCTTCGGGGGCATTTTAGTATTGGTGGCGATGTATGTAGGCACCTCAGCATCGACACATCGCCCAATCATTTGTTGTACCAGATATTGCTAACGAGATGACTAAGTGATTTGTTTTGCTGCACGTCTGGTGGTTTTTACGCGAAAGTTGCTCGTTGCCACCAATGGGGAGACTTATTGATGTTGCATTGACGAAATTCGCAATGATTTATTTTCAGTTGTTTGTTACTATTCCTTTTTACTGAAATATTTAACGGGTGTGCACTTGTTGTTTTTTTTTTCTTTTTGTTTTCGCTTAATGTTGTCATCGTCATGTTACTTGCTACTTGCATCTTTGGTTTTTTTAGCGTCTTTATCTACTGAATTTTGTTGAAGATGCAAATTATTTTGTTTCGGATGTGTTGAAAAATTTATTTGATCGTTTAGATTATTATTTTTTTCCTTTTTGTGATGCGATTTGCATATTTGAATATGTGCAAAGATATATTCTGCATGCACTGCTGACTTTACCAGCAGCATACAAATTATTTGACGGTGCACGCATACACGTACATATCAAGGTTTTTTAAGACATTTGTGCTGCAACAGAAAATTTTTGAAATAAAATTTATATACAAATATAGAGCCTTTTTTCTTCAATAAGACTTATTTGTAGGCTATTTTAATGCATCAAACTTTCTTGTACAAATAAAAGTCTTCAATAACTGTTATCTAAAACATATAATATAAAAATCAAAAGTAACTGTTATTTCTAGATTATTTAAATAAAAATCAAAAATAATTGTTTTTCTTCGGATTTATAAAATAAAAATCAAAAATAATTGTTATTTTTTTAAATTTTGCATAAAAATTTAAAATAAAATTTTATTTTCGAATTTGATGCTGGGCGAAAAAAGAAATCGATTGGTATGTATAACTTAGTTGTAGAACATTTCCTTCATAGTGAATTTTTCAATGACAGTTTTCATCAATAACTGTTATGTTCGGTCCCTGATGTACAAGGACCGACATAATTAAACAGTGTCTGGCAGAAGTTAGATGATTGATAAATGTTTTGATTACAGACACGTAAACTCCTAACCTCTTCAACTATTTTCTATTACACGGCTTGGTACACAGATACAGAAGGAAGTTAAAAGTGTACCCGTAACCTTACCTTCGATATAGACTCCGCACCCTAACACTTTGTCAATCTTGATGCCACCAGTAAGGTATCTACAATGTGTAAGCCCACACTCAAAAAAGTAAAAAGTTAAAAAATAAAATAAAATTAGTTTATTATCACATTTATTTAACGAACTTTTCTTCTGAGCATATGTATGTATGCATGTGTGCAAATTTATGTGGTGGACATTCAAATATATGTATCGGTGCAATATCTTGCGCATGAAACAGTTAAATAATCTGTACGTTTTAGTTAGCCAATGTCACCAAAAACTTTTCTCTTTGAATTTCACTACATCTTTCATTTAGTTATTCCCTGCTACCATTAAGCACTTTTTGAATTTTCGACCAAATTATTTCCAAAACAAAACAAGAAATGCCCAAAATCATCAACACACCCATCAGCAGGAATACTGGCTGTAAGTCAGCTAATCTCAATGGTTGGAAAGAATGTTTCTTATTCCGATCAGCTAACTTAAACATTTTCATCTCTGTTAGCTCGATAAAGCTGTGATGTAGCCAATAGCTCATTAGCCCAGATTGTTGTAGGTATAATATTAAACTATTCAAACTCTTACGATATATTGAATTTCGCGGCAAAGGTAATACAAATGGAATCTCCTTGCCAAAGCAAATGTCTGAGAGTCGAAAAAGAGGTTTTGAGAAATACTTCTGTTGCATATCGTACATAATCCACATATCACCGACAAAATATGCATAACGCGTATCCAGCTCATTCCGCAGCAAACGTAATTCAGTTATGTTATTAAAAATTGTAAAATTCTGAATGTATTTGGGAAAATTTGTATAATACTTAATAATGTCGACGTCAATCGGATCAACTGCCACCTTGATACCATAGCTAAGCAATTCATCGATATTTCTTATATAATGATCCGTGGGTGCATAAACATTAAAACTTTGCAAGTAAGTGCTATAAGCGGTACCAAGAATAATATCTGCAAACGAAATGGTGATGGTGAGAAATTTCTGAATGCCCGATTGGCTGCGATTCGTCCAAAATGGCATGCCCAATAAACCTTGAAACACCGACACGTTTAGAAAGTGTTGAACAATGGATAGCTGCCGCCTACTCTTACAGCGCAATGTGATAGCCCAAACTGTGGATATTGATACGAGGCTGATGAGAAACAAACTAGCAACGCTACTCGAAATAATAACCCAATAGAAATCATATGGCGGCAATGGAGTTTCCACTGGCACCATCAGACACCAGTTTTTAATGTGCATGACAAATGTGGGAAACGATATCGTGTTCTCCACATATAATGGCCAAAGTATGCCAATATCTATGATATTCTCCTCAACAGCTTTGCGATTTTCTATACGAAAAAGTGATTCATTCTTCAAGGTGGTTGGGTATTGAATTGTTGCATTGTTGTTGGGCAAATGTCACCAGGGCTCTGCCGATGAAACCACTCAACTTCGAAGACTTCTCTTCACGTGTATAATTATAAAAATCAATATAACGATCAACTGCCATCAAACGCAATGGATGGCCGTACATATTTTCCAAATGTTCGGGGAAGATATTACGATACGATAGTGGAAATTTTCGCTTAATAGTCGCCTGCATAGGAAATAATTTCAAAGTCCAGTAGCTGCGTTCTCTCACCGCCATTTGTGGCTGCAATGCAATAACGTTTACGGCGTCATGTTCTGCACAGAATTTGAGAAGCCCAAATACATATTCGTCGCTAACTTGATCGTCAAAGAGCAGTACGAGGCCAGCGTGAATGTTGTGGTGTAATTGTCGCCATAGCGCCTTTAAATGTCGCTCGTCGCTCGCAGAGTTTTGACAACTAAATAAGTTGCACAATGCTAAGCAAATTATGATTAAAGTGTTGGTTGTTACGCTTAGCCGAGGTGATAACTTCGATGTTGAGTACAGCAATTGGATTTTTTGGGCTAAGCGTATGTAAGATTGCCGGCACATTTGGGCGAGCGTAGTTCACGTTGTCGCAACTTCCGTCATTGCTGCTTGTATAAACGAAAGTCCGTATATCCTGCTCTGTGGCTACAGTTTGGCAAATATCCTTGAAAATTTGAACAAACTCTATGTCAATAGCTGATAGACCGATCAGACCAGATCATTTCGAAAGAACTGCATGCTTAGAGATTTCTGCTGATACTGAATAGGATTAAAAATTACCCGTACGTGTACGTACGACCTTCTTCCAAAGGTTCAAACTTCAAACTATTACTTAGTCTTCCATTGCATTAGCGGAGAAAAAGGGCACGCAATATTTCTGATGTAAATGTTTACTTAATCGCTGTTTATTCGCTTAGTTTAATTATGCAATAAAAATTTTACTGCACTTTAGCTGCCTTTTGATGTAATTAAAAAACTAAAGTTTTATCCCGGTCCCGGTTGTGGGAGGTGCGTAATACTGCATGATGTCACATCGCCCAACTTCCAAATGTTAAAACGTAATTTTTCTAATTGCAATAATCTTTGGCGTGAGAAGTCATCTCCTTAAGAACTGGTAGTCGCAAACAAAATTTATTTGTCTATCCTTGAAAGTTCGTCAGGGTTTGTTTAGATAATAACCACGCCCCTACAAAGGTATTTTTGAAAAATCTTAAAACAAACATTTTTCCAAAACTACTAAAGTAAGTAAATTTTCTAAATACTAACATTTACAGTGGACTTTTTTGGTACATCTAAGAAGGCGCACTTTGGCTGGACATATCAGTAATTCAATGAATTTCAAAAACACTAAAACTCGATAGCTCAAAAAATTCGGTAACTCGAATATTTTCGATAACTGTACACAAAATACTAACTTCGGACACAAAAATGTATATATAATTGTTATAAATCGAATTTCTATAACTCGGTTAATTTTGATAGCCCCTTATTTTTCAAATGCACGTTACACTTTGGTAATTTGTTCAAATTCGGTAAGCAGTGATAAATCGATATACGTATCTATATAACCTTGAAATGTCGATAATATATCGTATTTTGAAAAATCCAAAAACTTAGTTTCGATGAATCGTCAAATTTTGGTAAATCAATAAATATCGGTAACTCTATAAGTTGCAAGAACTCGATGCATTACAATAACTCGATAAATTTTCTTAACTCCATAAATAATTACAATTCAACAAATTGAGAAATTTTGATAATTTTTTATATATATATCCGTATATCCGTAAATTTCGACAACTAATTTTCTTTGTTTATAAATGTCGACGACAACACAATAAATACTGATCAATTTGAATAATTCGATGCGGTGCGCTAGCTCAATAAATTTCGATAAGTATTAGCATCGATGATTCGATAAATTGTGGCAACTTGATAACTTTCGATAACGAAATTTTTTATGACTGAATTTATTTCGATTCTTATCGTAAAATTTAACAAAACTCTATTGAAAAATTATTTTTCAGTGGTGTTCTTGGTTTTGAAATCGGTTCGGTAGAATCGCCATTTGCATACATTTATATCGATAAAAGTTTCGATTATTGTATTGACGATTATTATATCGATAACACTATCGATTATTAGATAGACAAAAAATATCGATTTTTATATCGACAAAAATATCGATTTTTATATCGACAAAAATATCGATTTTTATATCGATAACAATGTTGACTAAAGTATCGATAACAACAACGTTTATTATATCTATAACAATATCCAATATAATATCGATAACAAGAGACATCGATAAAAATATCGATGAACCTTAATTCTTAAGTATTTCATATTGTTTTCACTTTCTTCTTTAAATTCAATTTTCTTCACTTTTTTGTCTTCATCGTTATCATTTGTTTCTTCATCTTCATATTTATCTTTATTTCAAAGATAAATTTCAAATACGAAGTAAAACAAAACGCGAACGCAGCTCAAAGTGAACAGGTTGCAACAACAACCATAAACAAATACGGAAATTTTTAAACGACGATTTTGGCCATTATTTTCAACCAATTTTTAAACCATTACAACTCTTCTTATCTGCGGAAAATAACCTTTCCACTGGTGAACGGAGACAACCGGTTGGCCACTAAATTTTCAGGCTCAGAATAGGTATTAACGCTACATCCTAGGTCCACCCTTGTGCACCAAGAAAGGAGACGACATCCCGCCGACCCACAGCGTAGGTCAAGTTAGATTAGGTTAAGTTGAAGTGGCTGCCTTCATCCAACGTCAGACAAAGACACACTTAGATCCGGTGGGTCCGTTGTGATACCAATTGAGAGCTCGGAACCCTTTGGTTCACTTAGAAGTAGAACCAGTTGGTTAGGTTCATAAAGCGCAATAATTCGTGTATGGCTGCTGAGGGCACACTCTTAATTTCGTCAACGTCGCGTCAACTGCGGCAGAAGGCATTGGCCGGAAAACCCATTCTGCTAGCATGCCTTCCGATGCCGGTCGGCAGCCTTAGTAGAGGGCGCTCTATCCAAATGAGTGCATCGGATCTGGGGACCTAAACGTGTCCGGGTAGTTGGTTAGAACGTTAGCGTGACCGAATCTGGTATCTTGCCATTTTGATAATGCATTTATTCTTATTGTATTGCAGCTCGCCTATAGCTTCCCAAAAAGGTCTACGGGAGAACATTTTTGGAGTGTTTCCTTGGTTTTTATGGGCGCGGATGGCAGCGCACCTGTGACTAGCGTGCCCTTTGAACCTTGGTAAGCTTAGGATTTGTGAGCGATTTATCCACTGATGTCCACCAGACTGTGACGCCGTAGAATAATATAAGACATACCACTTCTGTGTAAATCCACGAAACTATGTGAGGTTTCAGACCACATATTTTGCCTATAGAAATAAGAAAGATTGATTGGTCGAAAATGAATAGGCTTAACATGAGAGGCTATGCCTACCCTCGGTACGAAGACGACCTTCGCCAATGTCCATGCTTTTGGTGGCCCAAAGTGTAACGGTTTTCCTTCCAAGGCCTGCGTATAAACGTAGGCATAGATGAAGAGTCGTTTAGCAACATCAAGCAGAACGGCTTTAGGCTCAACTACAGCTTTTGTAGCGTGACAATGAAACCGTGCAAGAAAACAGTCGACAGCGCGGCTGCATCGAATAAGATGCAAGTAGAAGCAGAGGGCGCCTCACAGCATGACAGAGCAAAATCACTTATAAGGTGGAAAATATACGGCCTGGGTTCGTCCCTACAGAAGTTCTATCAACGCAGGGGTTTGACCTACGCAACCTAGAGTTAGACGGTATACTCAGGGTCTTCCCTGCCGGATAACAGAAATTTTTACTTAACGGAAAATTTAACTAAAATTTTAAAAATGAAATTTTTTAAAACAACAAAACCTTAAAATTAAAATTAAATTAAACTAAAAATTTTAAGGACAATAAAAAAATTAATAAAGATAATTAAAAGATTTTTCTCTTTCTTCATGGCTGTCTGCAGTTCTTAAGAAAAAAGAATATTTTTCCTTATTTATATGGCTTTATTTTTTCTTGAGCCCTTTAAAAAATAAAATAAAAAATTCAAACAAAATTAAGTAAAGAAAAGTTTATTAAATAAGAAAAAATAAATACACTAAATGAAAAAATATTTGGAATTTCAAAACAAAAAATAAATAAAAGAATGTTAAATTGAAAAAAAGAAAGACGTATTACGAAGAAATAAACTAATACAATTTAAAGAAATACATTTTTCTTTTTCAACAACAAAATCGAAAATTTAACAGAACTTAATTGTAGAAAAATATTAAGAAGGAGAAAAAAAGAACTAAAAATAAGTTTCTAAGATCTGAATTGAATGTAATATATAAATATATGCATATTTTATTTTTGAAACCATAAAATCTAAAACTGATAGAAAATTAAATTAAAAAAATAAGAA